TTGTGCCATTTTCCAAATTCAATTCATCATTTTATATTCTTACTAACAATGTATAAGGTACTGACTTCTCTTTTTTCTTCCCAACAATTATTGTTATCTAATTATTTGGCTTTCTTAGCAGGTGAAAGTTGATGTCTCTTGGAGTTTTACCTAAAGACTAATGATACTGAGATTCCTTTTCCATGCTATTTGGCCATTTTTATATCTTCCTTGAAGAAATATATATTCTATGATTTTTTGTTCATTTTGTCAATAGCATGGTGTTGGACTGTGCTTTAGCTATTGCCTCTAATGTACCTTTGCTCAAAAAAAAAAAAAAAACACAGTATGTACACATATCTAATGAGATACTCTGTTCCTAGTCTTCTTGCAGTTTACAGGGGTTTCTCCAATATAGTAACATCTTATACTTACAAAAATCAGCTTATTCTCTGTCTCTTGTCACGTATATTATACATAAACTACAATGGAACTTAGACTCTTTTTTCTCCCACGATTTCTTCCTGTCAATGTTCATAATCCTTAATACAGTGAAATGTATCAGGCTGCTATTTTATGGTTTTCCTCTTTAAAACTTTCTATTAAAAAGAATTGTGTTTTTCTTCTTGACTCATTAACGTTAGTTCATTTCCTAGACTAGATTCATGTTAGGCAAACAATACTGACACTTTTATTCAGTGTTTATTCAATCCCTGATTTACTAGAGAGATGTTCTTCTGCCCAGGTCCCATATGCATTCTTGAGTTTTGTTTGTTTTTTTGTTTTGTTTTGTTTTGTTTTGTGGTGCTGGGGATTAGAACCCAGGGCCTTGTGCATGTGAGGCAAGCACTCTACCAACTGAGCTATATCCCCAGCCCCCATATGCATTTTTATTCCCAAATTTTTGGATGATCTTGAATTGGTTTGTGCACATCAGATGTCATATCCTTCCCCATGCTTATCTACATACTTATCCTGTAGTGCAGTCATTGATCTCCAGTTCCTCAACACCTCTGTTCCTCTGTGGCGCTGCCTAGAAGGTATCAGAAACACCTGTAAGATGCTCTCCTGTACCTCTTACTGTTGCATCCAACAGCCTCATCTACAAGTAATGCTATTTCTAGAAATCCAAGTACTAGAGTTTGTGGAGTGTGAAATTGATCAACTTAAACTTTCCTCCTTATGCAAATTGTTTTCTAGACTGGAGGCAAGTATGTGTGCCATGTCGGCCCTGAGGAGCAAAGAAATGAGTTCAAATGCAGTGGGAGCAACCAGGCCGAGGATCCTCACCTTCAGAGACTGTGATCTGGAGAGGTATTAAAAAATATGGGGCAGGGTGACATGCAGAACTCAGCGAGAATCCCTCAGGGGCTCACTTATGAGAACAGTGAAAAGTATGGCTCAGTCGCCTCAGCATGGCACACACAGAGAATGCCCATGGTTTCCCATTCATCCCATTCACAAGATCACATTCTCCATTGCTAGGGGAACGTGGATACGCTGTTGAGACTATCAAAGGACCTTTAAAACATGTGTCTGTTTTTTGTGTATGTTTGAGTGCCTTGATAGGAAAGGATATAAATCTAAGCCCATTCTTGCCCTAATTACAGCGCTGGAAGGAGCCCTATTTTCCCACATGGCTGATACTCTAACATTTTAACCAGCTGTTTCCTCCACAGACTTTCTCCTCTGCCCAGGAGATCTATAACAGTTCCCTCTGTTCTTGCCTTTTCCCATGTTTCACTTCAATCAAACCTGCCTCTACCTTTGCAGTCGAACAACACGTATCTTTTCATCCTGAAGTCACAGCATATTCCCTTGCCTCTCATTTCCTCCTTTTCAACTGTATCAATTTAGTTTAAAGTCCCCGTTACTCCTTTAGAATAACACAGAAAAGCAGCATATTATTTATGAGGTTGGAGAACGGAGACAATGGCGAAAAGAGAACAGTAATATATAAATTGCCAAAAAGAAAAAAAATAGGGAAGGGAAAGGGAGTATTTCAGGTAGTTTTAGAGCTGCTAGAGAAACTCCCTCTGACTGTATAAATGTGCACACTCACAGCAATGTTTAAACAATCAAAATGCAGAAGCCATTCCCATCTTTCTCTGCATAAGCTTCTACAGTCTGTGCAGACTTCTCTGTTCCAAATCCCATCTGAATGAAAATGAGTGATTTGCTTTCTTGATACTATCCTCGTTGCTTTCATAAACCTATTTCTCAGCGGCCCAATAGTCATGTGAACTATGTATCATAGTACTAGTTCTGAAAATCTAAGCCTTCTTATTTGATGCTGGCTCAGAGCAACCCTGCTGCAAGTGCAAGTTTAATTGACAATGCTGTAACTGTAATCTCCAGTAACCATAATAACAAATGTCAATGGTGTGCTTACAATGTGCCAAGTGCATGTCTAAGCACTTATCTGCTTTACTTCATGTAGGTCTCAGGTCAGCGTTATTACATTGAGTAAATTGAGGCATAAGGATCTTGAATATTTTGCCTCAGTTCTTTAGTAAGACACAGAGACAAGACGTAAATTGCCTGCAGGGCATCAAACCACAGAACTACTGCATTCAGCAACACTTTTATGTAACTCTTCAATAAACTACAGTCTCCACTGATATTCTTTGACTTTTCTGTGGTATTATACCTTCATCCAAGGTGAACACATTGTACCACACTAGGGGACACCACACACATAAGCACACTCTGATAGTGCCTCGGTAGCGCCTTCAGTGCACTGGGGAATTCCATAGCAATGTTCTCATATCATAATACTTCTGAACCTCTAAAGTCTAACAAAGAGGTAAAAGAAAATGAAATCTTAGAAGAGAGAAGAGTTGATGTGCTGATTTTCCAATTCTAGTTAAATACACAGATTTCTGAACCAGATTCTTAGTTTTCAGTGTCTTTGGATACCATGTCATTTTGATTCTCTTGCTTCTACACTTTGCCTAATGTTCCAGGCTCCCTGTTTGGTCACTGGGTATACTCTTCTATTACTGTGCCTGAAGGTGGCTCCTCTAGAAGATGACCAGCCTAAGGAGCCAGTAACCCCACCACCAAGGTATCCATAAGGAACTTACATCACACCAAGTAATAAAGTGTGATTTTTTGTTAGATTTTAGTTTGTACTATTGTTGTATAGACAATTGAGTTGGATTTCCTAGGGATAGATGGAAGACACAAGAAGTATAAGGACTATGGCCAAAAAAAAAAAAAAAATTAAGATTTCAGACAGCACCTTTTTCTAGAAGTTTGCTTATTCTAGGTAGAAAGATAGTTTTAGAAAAACAGGATGATTTCCTTACTCACCTGTGAAAAATAAAACAATATATTCCAAAGAGAAAACAAGCAGATATGATTTTCTATTTTTCTTGTGCTAAAAGTCCTGACTAAAGATATAACGCTATCTAATTTGTAAATATGTGGAAATAAATGACAAATACAGATATCATGCATCACAGAATTCTAATGGAGAAAAATAATAAAAATAAAAAGTATTATCATGTCCAGAAAGAATTCAAGAAAAGAAGACAAAATTGAGTTGGGCTGTTAAAAATGAAAGTAACTTAGAAACAACATTCTGAGATGACTTTTTTTAATTGGTACATAAAGTATGTAGAAGAAAGCAGGAGGTAACATCATCAGACAAACCTACTTGTCAAGTTAAAAAAAAATGGTTGAAATTCTTCAATGCCAGTATAACTATAAAAGTATAGCTAGGCACCACAAAACAGCATTTTGATCAATGATGAACCACACGATGGCCTATTTGATGGTGATTCCATAAGATTACAATAGTGTTCAAAATTCCTGTCACCTGTGACCTCATAATGAACACATTGTTCATGTTTGTGGTGATGCTGGTGTAAACAAACTTAGTGCACTGCCAGTCACAATTATGTAGAGTGCATAATGCTCAATAAAAAGCAACTGTGTTACTAATCTCTGAATTTACTATACAATATTTTCCATCATTGTTTTAGAGTGGACTTCTACTTATAAAAAATCGCTTTCTGTGAAACAGTATGCCTTGCTGCTTCAGCAGCAGCCCTGTACACCTTGTGTTTACCTTGTCTGTGGACCACATCAAGTGATGGACCTAGACCATCAAGCCTGCCTTTTTGATTTTTGTTTTATTGGTTGGTTGGTTGGTTGGTTGGTTGGTTGGTGCATTGTAGTAATGAACAATGGTGGGATTCATTCTGCCACATTAGTATATATGTGCACAGAGCACAAGTTGATGAATCTTATTCCCCAGTATCTTCCTGTACCCTTCCCACCTCCCTCCCTGATCCACTTGTTCTACTCTACAGATCTCCCTTCTATTATTGCTACCGTTATTTTAATTGGTGTGTTATTATACACACACACACACACACACACACACACTCATATATATGTGATTCATTGTGATGCATTCATATATGGACATGGCACAGTTTGACAGATTCCATTCCCCAGTACTTCCCTGTGCCCTTTCCTCCTCCCTTCCTCTCAATCGCCTTCCTCTACTCTATTGAAGACCATCTAGGTTTGTGTAAGCTCATTCTATGATCTTCCCACGAGGATGAGATCAGCTTCTAGCACATTCCTCAGAATATTTTCTGCTTATTAAGCCACAAAGAACTGCAGTGAACTTCATTTTATTGTCAGAAGACAATAAAAAGAGTATTTTTTGGAGGGGGGGGGTTGTTGGTTTTTTTTTGTCAGTAAATCCCTCAACTTTGATCCCTTTCAATAGGTTTCAAAAAAATGTGTGCTGTGGACAACTTTCCTTAGACATGTCCTCTTCATATTTTAAGAGATGGTTGCTTCCATTAGATCCCTCCCCCCCTTTTTTGTATTCCTTTTAGTCAGCTAAAGGAATGACGCTGATGCTACCATGGGGACTGGAAAACTAATGAAGTTTTCTATTTCCTCTCAGATAAGTGAAAATCTAAATGGTGTAGAAATTGTAAATGCTGAACAAAAGACATTTAAGCAAGTTGCTGTACTTCAGTGCACAATTATAAATCCTCCTTGCAATCTTCTCAGACATTCAGACCTGCCAGGAGCTAATTAACTGCTCTGGCAGTGGGAAGATGTGGCAGTGTGATTCACGGTAGCTGAATGGCTGCAAGGTATTTAATTTGAACAATAGATGAATTAAAGGGCAGCAGTTAGCCAGAGTATCAGCAGATAGAGTATGCCTACCTAAATGGCTCTTATTCAAATTCAAAATTGCCTGCCTCAAGATTTATATTGGGAATTTTTTTAAAAAACATTAAGATGGTCTTACAGTGCAGATACCAGCAAAAGAAGACATCCCTTGGTAAAATTCTGCTTGGGGAAGTGTACCTTCGTATTTCTGGTAAGTAGCTAAAACTGCGTGGGAATAATTGATTTATAGTATAGGGTATGAACAGCCAGCTTTCTTCTAAGCTTATGGGACTGACGGAAATGACCAGGCCACCTGCCAATGACTATCTTGAAAATTGAGGAAATTGCTTAGGATTTATTAATTTTGTTACATCAGTAATTGTGAATGCTGCACATCAACCTCCTCACTCCCGGGTCTTAGAAATTGCAACTCACTTCGAGATTTATTAAGTTCAGTGGAGAGAAAGCTTCAGATAAAGATTCCATACTGATTCACTGCCCTCAGCATCCATTGCCTCTCCTTTACTCTTGCCTTCTAGGTGTGGAGAAGAATCTATTTTGTGTGGTGCCAAGAACTTTCCATAAATTATTTTGTTTAATCCCCATGAGAATATATTCATTATGGGGAAACTGAGTCCTGTCAGATTTCAATCCCAGTCAGCTGTCTCTAATCCAACTGCATGGGTGTTCTCCCTCACAACACAGTCTCCTTGGAGTGCATTTCTCTCTCACCCAAATGGCTCCTGTTTTTTTTTTTTTTCCTTCGTATCATATCCTGGTCCCATATCTCATTTCTTGTAGAATGAAAGACACATAGAGCTGCCTCCCCACCTGAGTTGAGCACTGGCTCTCACCTACCCAGATGCTCCTGAAGAGAAGACGATGATGGCTGGGGAGAATTTGGGGGTCATTTGCCTGAACATAGGTTGCTGTATGTGGCCCAAGTGGAAAGTACTTGGATTCATTTCTGGTATAACATATTACCACAAATGGAGTAGCTCAAAACAATCAAAATTCATCCTCTGACAGTTATGGAGACAAATAAAATCCAAAATCAAGGTGTTGGCAGAACCACGTGCCCTCCTAGATGATAGGAGAAAATCTTTCTTTGCTTCTTCCTAGCTTCTAGTATTACCAGCAGTCTTTGAAGTTTTCCAAGTAAGTCTGAGTCTCTATGTGTCTTTTCCTCTTATGAGGACATCAGCTTTGGATTTAGAGCCTATCCCAAAGTAGTATGGCCTCATCTTAACTGAGTACATTTGCAAAGACCCAGTTTCTAAATAAGTTCACATATTGAAGGTCCAGGTAGACATGACATTTGTGGGGATACTGTTCCCCCAATACAATTCTGTTCAGTTTCTTAACTGTATGGACACTCCTGTAATACATCATGTTTTTATGGCTGCATTTTTAAACTTAGAGCTAACTCCTTTGAAACAGGAAAGTCAGATATGTGCATAGACCCTATTATCTGTGACTCTAGTGCACTTAGTAATATACAGTTCCTGAAGGAGAACCCAAAATCTGTGCATAGAATTTAAGATTGTTTTTTAAGTTATTTAAGCCAATTGTATGCTAAAAAGTAAAAAAACAAATACATAGGTATCACCAAGATTAAGTAGACATTCTCACATTTTCTTGTTTTAAATTATTTTTATGGAAAAGGGAAAATTATTGCTAAGCTTTACATCCATCTTTTTTCCCTCCTCCTTCACTTTCCAAAGGTGACTATCCTGAGGCTAGAATAAATAATCCCATGCACTTTTGTTTCTTTCTTTAACAAAAACTATATCTATACAAAATTTAGTGTTGTAAAAATCCATGTCTATTTTATCCTACTGTGCCTTTAATTTTCCAACTGCTTTTCTATTCTTTTTTTAGCATCCACCCTAGAGAAACTAGTTTTGTACAAGATGTGTTCAAGAGTTTTTATCATAGTACTGCATGTAAAATTGGAAAGACTGTAAACAAGCTTATCCTGCCAAGGGGGAACTATAAACAAACAAACAACAACAAAAAAACCATTTTGTCAATTAAGTGAAATGCTATGTAACCACTAAAATAAATGCACAAGACCTATAAATTTTAAATTAAAAAAACCTCAATCCATGCATACAATGGTTTATTTAAATTCTCTGTATTTTCAATATTTTCTCTGAAAAAAATATTAAATAATTCTGCTATGACTATTTTCTCTGTCCGAATATGTGAAAATCTTTAGTTCATATGTTGAGTCCCACATTTAAATCAGCTGCAGAATGCAGAACTTAGCCATTGCAATAAATCAATATGTTTATTAATTTTGTTACATCAGTAATTGTGAATGCTGCACATCAACCTCCTCACTCCCAGGTCTTAGAAATTGCAACTCACTTCGAGATTTATTAAATTCAATTTAATAAATTTAAATTTATTAACTTCATCTATCCCTTGTCACTGACTCTACTAACAAAAGTAAAAGAAATTTTCTTTTAATTTCCAAAGACTGTTTCCATTTATCTGTGAATGGTAATTGTATCAATGATGCCTTATAATAGTATGGCCTCTCTTAACTCTTGATTTATCAACTTAGTTCTGCAAAGGCTTTAGGTAATTCATTTGTGTGCATTGCCAAACTGGCAGCTCTAACTGAGCAGAACTGCCATATGTAGACAACAGTAAATTATCTTCCATACTACCTCCAGACTATTAAAGCTATATTGGTATGAGAATAATGCATGTGTGCATATTGCTACTATCAGTAATACAAAATCAATAAAATGATATTTCCTAGTATTTCAATAGAGCAGATGTCTGATAGGTAATGGTCATTTGAAATATGTTAGTATATAAATATCCAGGAACACCTCACTCAGGGAAATAAGTACCTGTGGAGTTAGAGAATAAGAATGACGCCCCCCTATTCAATTGATGTACAGCAGCAATTCTTGGACCTGCCAGTAAACACCAGGTCAACCTTGCCATGCTTTCCCTTGATAGAACTTAACTATCTATAGCAAGTAGATAGTTTTTTGTATTATAACTTGGCTAATACTTTTCTTCCCTACCAGGCATTTGGCTGGTTGAGGTCAGAGGCTATGCTCAGGATTTTTAAGATATCTGACAATGGAAATAAGGAAAATGCAGTTCTTAACACTAATTCAAACAAGAGGTACTAATAAGTATGTAAAAAAGATCAGATAATAGTTCATTATTTGTGTTGGAAGACGACCAGGCTCCAAAGATTAACTTCCTCATGCCCCAAGAGAGCTGCCCAATGGTGAGCCCTGCTCTCATGATCCTTACCCACCAATCAGAAAGCGCCCTGTGCCAACTGTCAAACCGTTAATCCATTAAACTGTCATAACTGTCAAACCGCCCCCGGCTCTATAAACGTGCAGAGCTGTTCCTCAATAAACAGGCACTTCGACGACAAAACTTGTTCGGTCGTTCTTTCAATTTGCATAAAGTTTGTCACTATGAGTGAAAAATTATGCACAAAATGTGAAGACAATTAAACCCATTACTGGAGTCACTAGTAGCCATAGTCTTGTCCAGAAATGGTCAATATGTGGCACATCTGCTGCCCCTTCTGAGTACTGTGACTTTGGCAGACCTACGAAATGATCTGGGCAACGTGCTCTGGTGAGTCCACACAGTCTCCAAACCATCCTCAACACAATGCAATGACTTCTCCTGACCAATCAGATCTGGCACAAAAGAGACAACCTACTCTCCGTCCCTGGCATAAATCAACCACTCTGTGTTTAATTGAGAAAACAGGCTTGAAGAGGCAAAAATCCCTTTTCCTGTAAAACTCGGAGCCAATTATCACATCTCTTCTGATTAGTGTATGTTATAATGTGGATCTGAAATGTCCTCCGTAGGCTCAAGAGTTACAAGTTTGGTCCCCAAGTGAGTGGCGCTATTGGGCAGTGATGGAACCTTCAGATGGTAGGGACCATTGGAGGATGCAGCTAACTGGGGGTGTACCTTTGAAATACATCTTATCTCTGGCCCCTTTCTCCCTCTTCCCCCCATCTCTCCTGACAACCTTGAGGTGAGTACTCTACTCCACCAAATGCTCCCCTTACTGTAAGGCTCTGCCTCTTCTCAGGCCAAAAGCAATGGAGCCAGTTGACCAGACCATAGACTGAAAATCTCTGAAACCATGAACCAAAATAAATCTCTTCTCCTCAAAATTGATCTGCTCAGGTATCTTGTCACAATGATGCAAAGCTGTCAAACACAGTGTGTTTCCCTTCTTTCTCTGTTTATGATACCAATTTCTATGTGTATTTCGATTCAGTTAACTTTATTGTTATAAACTGTCTCAAACGTATGGAAAGAATTTTTTAACTATTCAGTACATAAATATAATCATTTCAAAGTCATGTAACCAGTTGTTACTAGGCCAAGAGACTAGTCACACTCTTTGGATTTGTGGTTTTTAATGAGCTAATTTTAGAAGCATGTATGAAAGGGAAAATGTTGCATCAGTTTTTGTTTTTTAAAAACTCATCTTGCTGGCAGAAACACATTTGAGAATCCTCACTATCTATTCTTGATGCCAAAAAGTTAATGAAAGCGAAGGCCTAAGCACAAGCTACCATCGGCACCTTTTTTTAAAAAAAGATCTGAATGTTCCAAATCTATTTTTGCAAACTCTTATAAATTTGAAGCAACATCAATAATAGATCATTGATGCCAAATGATGATTTTAGCTTCCTGATTGAATTTGGATAAGGTTTATTACAGAGGTGAATGTATTTTTGTTTCAAATACTTCACTTATACATTGATTAAACAAATATTTACAATTTAGTGATATTTCAGCATATGTTAAAATGTTTATGGGTTTTGATAATGGATAGATAGATTGTTGCTTGTATAACATTTTTAGTTATAAGTATGATTTATTTGCTGTGGAATTTTTGGTCAAAAATGCTTTGATTATTTTTCTATGAAAAGCTATGATTTACTCATGATGTGGATTTTTAGATATAAAGGAAACTGTACAAAGAAAGTGCTGCCTAGAATCTGAACTGTATGGGTCTTGGAGGTCAGGAGGACAAGAGCCTGGCTTTCAGGAAGAGCGAACCAAGCAAGGGAGCTAAGAAGGAATTTGCTGTCTTTTGGAGCAAACATTTTGACCTTGGCTACAGTAGTGGAAAAGGATAGGAGGGAAGATGGTCAAAGAGAGAAAGAGTGACCCATATATGAAGAGTTGCCC